GGATGGCTAGCGCAGATAGACCTCGTGTAGCTTTGCCCAAAATGCAAAACAAAACACTGTTTGCTCTTTTCACCTTTCTCAAATTCTAACCTTTCAGAAGCTTTTTCAAGACAATAGATTCCATTATCTTTCTAATAACAAGAATTCACTGCAATTTCCTAGATCTCCTTTATGAAGACAGGTTTTCATATTTTAGAGTACATTAAAAATGTCAATACACATGATTGAGGTGAATGTGAGAGGCACTAGTTTTAATTTTTATGCTACTATCCCAGTAGACTTATTTTGGTATTTTTGTTTACTTCTCAGTTTATTGAGTAAAGTGGAACATATTTTACATGAAATACAAACAATAATGGAAGTACCATAACTATACATTATGGTGCATTGAAATGACTACTACTTGATGTTGTATTTTTCTTTTATAATTGCTATAGAAGAGATTGTGTTCTTCATACTCACAAAGAAAAACTGCAATTTTACTTAAGTGTAGTTATAGTGGACATAATTAGTATGCTATTATAGATTTGACATCTTCAGGAGTGATATTGCACCAAACCATACTTCATAATGAGAATACAGTAGAAATTGCTGTTTTATGCCGTGAGAAGGCTTGGAGAACTTAATCTGTTGTTTAAGAGCAAGTTTAAGCAGGGAAAATTGCACTAGATTGGAAAACTTTATGGATGACATCTGCCTTTTAAGAATAATGCTTCAAAATGATAGCACAGGTCTTTCTGATGAAGGTGATGACTTGATGAAGGCCTGCACTAGAAATTCAAAATACCACTCTCAACAGACAGGTGTCATCCATAAAAGTTTCCAGTTAGAATTGAACACAGTTGAATACAAAGAGGAAGGAAAGAAAAGATAGCACAGGTAAGAAATTAGTATTTGAATGCACCATAATAAAATATTTGATGCTTCTGTATATACCAGTTGAGAAAATTTTTTGTTTAACTTGATAAATTGGATGGTATGTTAAGATAATGGTGTCAGCCATGCATTGTGTACATATACTATATCATAATACATAAATTAAGTATTGACTGCAGAATTGGAATTCACTTGTTGTATTTCTGTTATGTTTACTATTTAATTGTAAGTGTTTGTGATGCTGTGATTGTAACAGTGGGATAGTATGGTACTACAAAATGTTGAAGTTAACATTATGATGTTTAATAATGAGAATGTATGATATGAACTTTTGTGATGTCAACTAATTACATGCACAGTAAAAGTACTACATATGAGGTCTCTGAATGGAGTACATTAAGGAACTTTTGATAATAGTAGGAAAATGAAAATATTTCATAATTGAGTGTGATTCCCAACTATAATAAGTAATTGTGGAATAATAATTATCCATTTAAGAGCATGATTTTAATATCACATATAAAATATGTAATAATTATACAAGTAATCTGACAGTGTAGTAAAGACATAGTATAAAAATCACACTCAGCATATGTACTTATTTTGGTTAATTATGTTGACAGTGGACTTGAAGGTTGAACTTGAAGCATGATATGTGAGCCACTTGTTAGTATTTTTTTTTGTAAGTCCTTGAATAGTGGACAGGTGCCAGAAGATTGTAAGTTGGCTAATGTTACTCCTCTTTTCAAGGGAGTTGTTAGAAATTGTCCTAGCAATTATAGGCCTATTAGACATACATCAGTTTTGGAAAGTCTGATAAAAGATGCTGTGTAAAGTCATTTAACAACATTTTAAATTTTATTGAATAGTCAAAATGGTTTCACTAAGGAAAGATCTTGCCTTACTAATCTTTTGGCATTCTTTGAAGAGGTTACTGCTCATGTAGATGAGGATACATGTGTGGATTTAGTATTTCTGGATTTTCAGAAAGAATTTGACAAGGTGCCATATAAAAGGCTTTTTAAAAAGTTATCTCTGAAGCTGTGGGGGATAGGCTGGCTCGTTGGATAGAAAACTGGCTAGTTGGAAGAAAGCAAAAGGTTGTAATAAATGGACTTTGTTCAAGCTGGATTTGTGTCACAAATGAGATACTTTCAGGCTCAGTGTTAGGGCCTTTGCTGTTTTTAATTTTCATCAATAACATAGATGAAGGAATGGCTAATAAATTATTTAAATTTGCTGATGATATTTAAGTTCTGGGTTTTATTGGCTGTGAGGAGAATGCTGTTGCTTTACAAAAGGATTTGCATTATTTGGTGAAGTTAAGTGAATAAATGGTAGATGGCTTAATTATAATAAATGCATAGTAATACATTGGGATATCACAATTTCAATTATGAGTATAATTTTGATTATAATAACCTTAACAGTGTTATAGAAGGAAAATATTGTGGTGTTCTGGTTGACCATTCTTTTATTGTTTATCATTCAATGTGCTGTTGCTAGTGGTAGGGCAAGTAGGAGTTTAGTTTGTATAAACAAAAATATTGAATACACATTTAAAATGGTTATAATGTCATTGATTAGGCCACATTTGGAGTATTATGTCCAGTCTTGTGCTCGTTACCTTAGGAAGGACATTGAATTGCTGGAAAGGGTTCAAAGGAGGGCTACTAGGATGATACCTTGGATGGAGGGGTTGTAATACAGGGAGAAGTTAAAATCTCTGAAATTGTTTTTCTTGAAAAAATAAGAGAGGTGATCTGATTGAGGTTTTTAACATTAAGGGAATTGATAGTATTAATGCATAATTTTTTTTCATATTTTATGGTGAGAATGATAAGACTAGAGAACACAAATATAAATTTTAGTGGAGTAGGAGTCATCTTCAGTTAAGAAAACCTTTTTTAACAGAGTAGTTGGCCTTTAGAACTGGTTGCCTTCAAATATAGTAGATACAGTTAATTTAGGGGAGTTTCAGGAAAGGCTTGATAAATATTTAAATGATAATGGCCAGCTTTGAGTGTTTTTATTTTATAATTTAATGGATGGGATGGCTTACATGGACAAACAGATCCTTTATTGTATTTAACTTATACGTGTATCTTTGTATTGGAGGTAATATAAACTTTTGGTCTTTTGTTTTTTGTGTAATATAATTGTACAATTTTTCCCAACTCAGACATAAGCCTTCAGAAAATGTGTAAAACTAATCAGTTAGGAAAAGTTTAGATTTTTGAATGAAAAAGTAATCATTAATGTTTAAACCATCACTATTATGTATAATACTCTGGATAGAAAAGTTAGTAAGGAAAAAGAATTCCTGAAATTAGATATAAAAGTATGATTAACTGAATTAATAAATTCAGATGCATAAATAATAAAAAATACTGTAAACCTCTTTCAAGAACTGAAAATACTTCATTTGCTTCTTCAGCAATTGAAGAATGTGTGTTGATAAATTCCATTACATAAAAAAAATTACAAGGTTCTAATAAAATACCACAGAAAAAAATCACATTGTAGAACACTTACTGGTACTTTTTTCTGAATGACAACAACTGCAGTGTCTCTGCCTTTTAATCCAACTGATGTTAATCCTCCCTGGTTGATAGCTTTGAAAGCATATTCTGGAAAAAAATCAAATCCCATGAGAAACAGTACAATAATACACTTCTCACTGGGTACAACTACTTTATGTTTCCTATTCTTTCATGGCAAACTAATGTATCAAGAAAGTAAAATACTATTATGTTAAGAATGTTTCATCTTATTACAGTAGTGTGGTAGGAGTCACTAACTGCCTTCATTTTTACAAAACTGGGTTCGTTTACCAGAAATGTATTTTTTCCAAAATTATTTACTTTTTTACTGAAAATTTAGATCAAAAAGTAAACAGAATCTTGGTCAGTAATTAAATTTTCCGACAAAACTAATGTGTGTGACCCATTATTGTGCAGGACAAGCTCCTCGACTCTTCCACTGTAACCCATCTTTATAGGTTGACTGATCATATTGGTTGTGTTATGACAGGACTTGTTGGTAAGTATTTCTTGGTTACTTAAATGGTAATTTTTATGCTTTTGAAAGTTTTTTTAAAGTAAATTTAGATTTTCAATTTTAATGTTCAACCCTTCAAAAATATTTGAATGATTCATTCTAATGGAGCGGTATTAACTGCAAAGGAAAATTTTGGACAGATATTAACCGCTGCTTATATCACATACATAATACTAAACTTTGCAGTCATAGTTATTATGAACTAGCTGAATGCATGTCATGTGATAGTAAATACTCGTTAATTTTTCTTCTGAAAGTTAAGTCTTAATAAATGTTTTATGAACATGTTTTCTAAAAATTAATTTATAGTAACAATATATGTATAAAGAATGTTTATCTTGTTTCTGTTATTTCACGAAAACAACATTCCTGTAAATGGTCCTTGATTAGAATTTATTTAAATCTGCTTCTTGATAAAGCCTTATAGATTAAACCATGTGAAAAAAAACTAGTTCTAGAATAGATATTCCTACATGGTCAAACATCTGACCCTGTGATTTATTAGTTATGATGGCAAAGACAAAGAATTTGAGGGTGAAGGGTAAATGAACAAAGGTATAGCTTTTTATAAAAAAATACTTATAAAATCTGTGAATAAATTTTTACAAATATTTTACTTAAGCTGAAAAACATCAATGATAATGTATTGTAGTGCTATTCATTGGGTTGGAGAGATATTTAAGTTGTGTTTGACAGACAGACATTGATGTTTGTATGTAATATGATATGTTCTCTGATTTAATCTATAGTGGTATTCATATTTTCCAAATATTCAAAGAGCTTGCTTAAAATATGATGATAAATATTTTTAAAAAATTAACATAAAATCCCAAACTCGACTGGGATCTGAACATGAGGCTTCCACATGATAGTCGAGCACTATAACCACTGTGATACCTAGTCTTTGTAATTTGACATTAACAAATAATTAAAATCCCTAATTAAAACTAACCTGTTTTCTGGCTTTTCATAGCACTGTAAGATCTTACTCTAAACGTGATGAATTAATAATTGAAAAATTTATTTAAAAATCCTCACTCAACTGGAATTTGAACACAAGACTTCTGCTTGAAGCTAACCACTGAGCGAATTTGAATGTTACCAACAAAGCAAGTATTATGAACAGAGATAGTAGATTTTATATGTACATAGAGTATTTCCTTTCATAACATCCATGCTGTTATTTATCAGGCTTTCAGTGAACCTTCTTGAGATTCACTGATGACTTACAAAATAGTTTAAGTACTCTACATGTGTAAAATAATTCCAACATTCAACACGGGAACTTGCTGATGTTACAATACTTTCTGTGAATCATAAACAAGGAATTTTTTTACTCATTGTTAGGGTTACTGAAGTAACAAAACATAGTTGCATGGAGCTATGTTTATATTGAACTCTAGCTAGCTAGTCACAAATGAACCTTAGCTCTTTTTTGAACTTTTGCTTATATAGCATTGTGTCTCACGGAATTCTGTTAAGCATATAAAGTTTTAACTGAACCTAATAATGTAGACTGATGACAAAACTACCTCATATGATGACATTTTATAGCATGTAATTTTAAAAAATAGCATAGTTATGCTGTAAAATAGCTCATTGTCTTTGGATAAACCAACAAATTACTTGAAATTTGACACATGCAAGTATGAAATTATCTGTTATTAGAGAAACAGTGTTACTTAATGGTAAGAGGAATCAATGTGAATTAACAGATTCATAATTTTACAACAAATACTAGATATGTTTTTCCTTCAAGTTTTTAACAAATTATTGTTTCTTTGTTGTAAAAGTCATTTAAAACATTGAATTTTTTAGTGTATTTTGTATCTAATATATTTGTTTTTGTATTTTTGAAATGTTCATAATTTTTCATAATTTGCTTAGCTGATAGTCAGTCTCAAGTTCAGAGAGCAAGGTTTGAAGCAGCAAACTGGAAATACAAATATGGGTATGAGATTCCTGTCGACATGTTGTGTAAGCGGGTAGCAGATATCTCTCAAGTGTATACGCAGAATGCTGAAATGAGACCTCTTGGATGTAGTAAGTAACAAGTTCACATAAAAAAGTATGGGATAATGTTGACTGCTGTATTATGTGTGTTGGCAGGCAAATATAGTATGTTAACAACTTTAAATAACATTTGATGGAGTGATGTTCTCTGGAGTAGAAATATTTGAAGGCAAACTAGTGTGGTAGTAGCTTTAATTGAAAAAAAAAGCATTTCATAGGGTAATGTTGATGTTAGTCTGTACTACATATATTGGCAGGCAAAAATAGGGTATTAATAGCTTTAACATCTTATGGAGTAATGTTCTCAGTACTATACATTCATCAGCAAAGATAGGGTGTTAATAGCTTGGAGCAGCAGTGTATGATCACAACAAACCAAACAGCTCTATTGAATAGTTGATGGTGAGAGAACTAAAGAAAGGCTTGTAAGATTTATGTAAAGGAGAGTTTTCTCTTTCTATTGATTTAAACACATCCATCAACCATGTGAAGTCAATTAGTAAACTATTTCAAAAGTCGGAAAGAGACATGAAAGCCTTCTTTTGTGGGTTTGGCAAATTAATTGATATCTCAGCAATTCAAGAAGGTAGGAGGTTCAGATTTTAAATTCTTGCTTCTAATTATTTATAGTTTGTGTTTCTAATTGCTTGGAAACTACAGCAGCCTATTTTTTATGTTAGAAAATTCTGAAAGGTAAAAATCAGAGCTTAGATGTGTCACGTGGCAGAAAAATGAAGATTGCCAATTTTTTGAATATTCATTTAAATATTTTGAAGCACTGTATATTTAAGACAAGTTTTTGGTTGTTGTGTTTTTTTTTTTCAAAATATTCTGAACTGAGTTATCTGCAGAAACTTCCAGTGAAATAAAAATTTCTTGTCAAGAATTAAATTGTTTTAAATTTATAATTTGTACATGTGTTAGGAATAGATGAAAAGGGTTATTTCCTTCTTGGTTCATTGTAAAATAAATGAGCCCCATTTGCTTCAAAGCTTCTTGAAGAAGCTAAATCAAGAAACAACACTATCAGCCTATATATCCTGTCAGGTTTTTACAAAAATTTGTCTAGTCTGTGGATTGCTACAAAACTTGCTGAGCACTTTGGACCAATGAGTGCACTGTAAGAGTGATGGTGAAATCCCACTCTTCAGCCAGACAAATCAAAGTTAATAATTAAGAATGTGTATGTGCAGATAGCCCTTGTATAGCTTCATGTTAGGTTCTAAAACAAACAAATAAAAATATTCTTAATTATAGAGAGTAGAATTTATATTTTCTTGTTTTTTTACATGGAGGCCTTAATGTTATAAACAGCTATTAACCTGCCCCAACCATGCATAAACTTGTGGCTCTGCTCTATATGATTTTTAACTCCTTTACAATTTATCTGCAAATAAAAACTATGCTCCTGGTGATATTTTGTATGAGGCTTAGGAAAGAAAAGTAATCATGGTGGAAAGGGTGTATAGTTTTTTAATATATACACCTGGAAAAAAGTTAAGCACCCCCGTGTTTTTTTTCAAGTGATTCAGATTCGAC